CTGTCTATAGTTAACTGAGAACTTTCAGTAACGAAGATAATGATATGCGGAAGAAAAAAATGGTAATGACAGCATTGAACCCCAGTGCTAGAAAGATTGTGAGAATACTTTGCCATAATACTAAACTTCTGTAACTCAAATGAAGTAGTAGAGTACAATTGACTCCTACCTTTAAAGATTCTAGTCGAGTCAACATGAAAAAGATGATTAAGAAACTTAAAATAGAGTGCCGGAGAAAGTAATATCATAGCAGAATTGAACAAATCTGAAAATTATGTTTTGCAAGCATTCTGGAGAAACCCGAAAAGTGTTTTCCATGCTTAATCTATGATAACAAGTCACAGAGGTCAACTAAACACGAAATGACAATGTTTACGATGAGTAGACATATTACTCGTTATTCGTTTGTTTGCATTTTCTTCTCTCCCTTTAACTTTTGCTCACGAAGTTTTCGAATTATTTCACTGCGAATAGAAACCGCAAATCCGGATATTCGAAGACTTCGGATTTACAAAGAATCCGGATTTATTTCCAACTGCGAAGACTACGTTTACTATTCGAATAATTGGGTTCTTCGAATAATTCGTAAAACCGAATATGAATAGGACTAGTAGACACCCGATATGAAAACGCTGAATGTCGTTAACCAGAAGGTGATATCAGCGAAACGAATGAAAAAAGGCAAACCGCCAGGGAGGTCTAGGTTCATACTGGGCTGTAGTGTCTAAAATTTTATATTTTTAGGCTGAGAGAATTTAAATCTAATAAATGATTTATCGCCAAAAAATATGCAATTGGCTGCATACTGTTTAGATTATTACCTGAGGAGGAGAATGAAGAGAGCAGAAGTATATACTATTGAAATTTTTTTTTAGAAAATAATTTTCCAATCAAAATTGAATACAAATAATATATTTATTATAATTATTAATAATTATCTTATCTTATCTTATTAGCTAATTATCTTCCTTATTACAGATAAACATCTGGAGCCATTTGTGTGGCTGTCTATTGTTTATTGGATTGACCATTTTTGATTTTCAATTTCTAAGACTTCATGCGGATATCAGTGATCAAGTTTTGGTGGTGTGTTTACTAGTCTGTTTCTGTTTATGTATGCTATTATCGTCGATATATCACATATTCTCGTGTAAATCGGAAGAGCATTATGATTTCTTTTTATCGGTGGATTTTCTTGGCATATCTTTATCATTGGTGGCAATTTATATAAGTGGCATGTATTACGCTTTTTGGTGCTTTAATGTAAGTTCTAATGAGAAACATACTTAATACAGATTTACAGATTTATACTATATGTATCTTTATAGAAATTAAGAATAATTTACTCTGTGATTTCCATGGGTATGTTTGTGGCAGCAATGGTGGCACAGATACCCAAATTGAATGTCTCACTGAATGCAAAGATTGTGCTTTTATTAGCTTGGTCATGTTATGGTATAATACCAATGACCCATTGGAGTGTTGTTATGGGTGGCATGCAAAATGAATTAGTACAAGTAAGTCGTCGTTTTTATACTATATAATAGAAATCATCTATTATATATTATTTATTGTTGCCAATAATTTATGTATTTTATATATTCTTTTTCTATAGTTAATGGTACCACGTGTTGTTATCATGTATACGATTTGTGCTATTGCTTTTGTATTCTATGCTGCTAAGATTCCAGAACGTTGGCTTACCGGTAAAGTAGACTTCTTTGGTCATTCACACAATTGGTGGCATCTATTCATTTTGGCTGCTTTCTACCATTGGCATAATACAGGTAACTGCTCATTACTCTCATTACTCTCAGACGCTCTTTTATTCGAAATATATTCGTCTCATTGCAGGTATTGTTTATGCAGAATATCGTCTTAATAATGGCTGTAGCGCACCGGTTCTATCGTGAATATCGCGAAGGGAGTGTGAGTACTTCCCATGCATTGTTACAGGCACCTGTTGTACACTTCTAGAATGACATATACACATTATTTTAATGTGTCTTCTTATTTAAGTTATTTTTAGTGATATTCTGTGTCGTGCACATGACTCGAGTGTTATGATAATTTTATTTAGTTTATAAGATGGAATTTAGCTGAATTATTATTTGTTGAATATTATTTAGTTAATAAAGCGAATTATTGAAAACTATTTTTACATATTTTAGCAACTTATTCTTACCTATAATTAGTATAAAAAATCTGAATAATTTTGTTTCCTTATTTGTGATATTGATTTGAATGTTATGGAATAGATAAAATACCTGCTTTTTTTTTGTTTTTTGGTTTAATAAATAATTTATTAATTAAGTTTAGTAAGTACTCTTTTAAATAAATTTGAAGGTAATAATATATAAATCAAATATTAAACACACTTTTACACTTGCAGTTTATTTTGAGAATCTAACAAAATATTATTTTAGAATTTTAAATATTTTTTAACCACAATTTTATTAAATTTTTACAAGATAATTTAATTCCATAGAAAAGTACAAATTATTACAATTATGTGTGATATACAAAATTATAATTGCAGTTGGTCTACAATTAGGTTTCTGTTTGATAAACGGTTTTAAGCCGAGAGAAGTCGCGACTGGCGCGACATTCCAGTTATCCGTCAGGCTAAACAGCTGGTTCATCCCTAAAGTTATGGTAAGGTATCCTTCTGCAGCAGAACAGAGTTGAGTTTGCTGGTGGAATATTAAACGGGTTACCATGAACTGCATTATCACTTTAACAAAATGGGTCTGCCCAAAGAGATAGATTGGCGACTCTGCTTAAAAGCAGACGAGACTTCCAGTCGCATTCTCTGTGACTGCCAAGCCTTGAGCTGGGCCAGGAGGCGTTACTGGGTTGAGAACTACTCTCCCCTACTAACAATAGGAGGTTGTCCACGGCCGGCATTCTTCCTTTCATTCGGAAGGCGGAATGTTTTCTATCTTCCTAACCGAGGATCTGTTGCAAAACAAAAGGTCCCACTAGAGTCTTACTTTAAGTACTACAGCTATAACAGCACAGTTGTTATAGGTTACAGTTGAAAGAGGTATAGATATCATAAATCAAATGCTACATGAACGGCAATTGATAAAATGGCGGTTGTCCACTACTTTTCTTGGCACAGTTGACGTAGAATGTGTGTTAAGCAGCTATTAGACATATCTATTAATGGTTTCTGGACATAGACCTAGTCGCATTAGGATCTCACTATAAGTACAATAGCTATAACTGCAAGATTTCAGATATAAGCGCGATGTCTGCATATTTGGTACATTTTTTCAACAATGCAATGATTCCATATCACAATGCAATGTTTTCGATACACCCAACGAAATTCTTTAGTTCTGAGAGAATTTAGCATAGAGTTGAGTAATATTGAATTTTTTGTATTGATTTTGTATTGATGAAGGCAAATTTGTTCAAAAGAGAAAGTTTTAAGTTCTCAGGTCTAATCGTTTTAATAATATATTGGAAAGCTCCGAAAAAGTCATTTTGGTACGTTGCTGCTTGAATAATTTGATGTATACTTAATGTTTTAACATTAAGGACCAGTTCAACAATGCACACTAAGATTAAGTAACCATTAAGTGTTCGATATTGCCCACCCAAGTATGTAATACATAACATTCATATGTACCTCTTTTTATTGCCAAATCGACACTTAAGTGTACATTTTAAAATTGGCCCTGAAAAAAAAATAAATTTCCCTTGTATTCAGTATAGAAGTAAAGTACAAATAAGAAGTAATAAGGACAGAACAAATAGAAATTTAAAAAAAATATCTACCACTTTTTATTGCCAAATCGACACTTAAATAAACATTTTAAAATTGGCCCTAAAAAAAAATAAATTGCCTTTGCATTCACTATTGAGGTAAAGTACAAATAAAAAGTAATAAGGACAGAACAAATAGAAATTAAAAAAAAATATCTACCACTTTTTATTGACAAATCGACACTTAAATGAACATTTTAAAATTGGCCTTAAAAAAATAAAAATTTCTCTTGTATTCAGTATAGAAGTAAAGTACAAATAAAAAGTAATAAGGACAGAACAAACAGAAATTTAAAAACAAATATAAATACAGTACGGAAAAATATAGTGTTGAAAAGAGATTGGTGTGTAATTTTTTTTTGAAAAATATAAAAACATTATCCTATAGAGTACTGTACTTACAGCATACAGTACGTTACTTACTACAGTGATGGCTATAATAAGTGTAATGTAAAATATATATTATTACTTTGATGTGAACTTTATATGTTCACAAAACATCATTCAAAATGCTCTGAGTTCAGATAATTTTCTTAAGGGGTGTCATAATAAATTTTAAAGATCATGATATATCATCACTTGATGTATATATTATATATTCTATATAAATTCTAATTTTTTAATAATTTCTGAGCTTAAGATGATTTATTTTCTATAATTTTTGTTAATGTCATTGAGATAAGATATGTCCTCATCAAAAGAATTTTTCATATACAGGGTTTAATACTGAAATTTAGTTTAAGGCAGAATTTGAACTAAATAAACACATTATTCATAGAGTGGGGCTTCCAACCTATTGCTTGCTTCTCTAAGTTATACTAAGAAGCTTGATACTTAAGTGGATACTGAGCTTAAGGACGTGAGCGAGTTCCAGTAAATTGGTGGAAAATTGAGGGAAATAGTAAATTATGTCGGCTTGGCAGTAAACATTGGTGTTTACCAGAATTACAAGATAAAAATTAGGTAAATTAAGTAAAAATTTTATAAGATGTTTAATAAATAAATAAATAAATTTGAAAACTTTTAACCAAAAGTAATAAATAAATGCAATAAATAAATAAATAAATATTTACATAAGTGCAGTATAAAAATATCGCCGGATGAGGGCGCGTCGGTCGACATCCAAAGCTAAATTAACAAGGCATGCTTCGCCTTTTCGTTACTGAATAAAGTTTGGAGCTCTGCGGTTATTTAACAGTAATGTTAAGAGCGTTCGGCTTTACGGCTGCGAAACCTGGCTTACCGCCAACAATCTGATCTATAAACTGCAAACCTTTATAAACAAATGCTTTAGGAGAATTCTGAAAATTTGCTGGCCCCACACTATTAAAAATTCCAAACTATGGTATGGTCAAGATGCCGCCAACTTCCTATAGCAAATGAAATCAAAAAGCATAAATGGCAATTGATCGGGCACACTTTGAGGAAGGCACCAAATGAAATCTGCAAACAAGCATTAACATGGAATCCGCAAGGAAGCAGAAGACCTGGTAGGCCCAAACAAACGTAGAAGCGAACACTGGAGAAAGAAATCCTCCAAGCAAGAGGAAAAACCTTTGGAGAAATTAAAACCCTGGCAAAAAATAGTGACAGTTGGAAAATGTTCCCCTGGGTACGTACTGGAAAGAATAATAGTGCAAAAAATCCCTAGGAAATTTCGATTTGCTTTACCTCAATTTACCCGAACTCGCACATGCCCTAAAAGCCAAAACACGGAAATTATTTCTATGCAGAGATAAATAAATTGATAGATAGGATGAAAGATGAATCGTTCCTTGCATCCTGTTACCTTTAACCGATTTCTTAAGCCCAAAAGCAGCTTTAAAATCTACTACAATATCCGTTAATTAATATTTTATCATTTTATGAGTTACGAGGGTGCATTTGTATAATTATTCTCTATATATGCAAGGATGTGCATTGTTTGAAATGTGATGATTGCACTTTGTGCATATCCTTGGGCTAATTGTCATCATTTGCGGATGGTTTCACATTTTCTGCTTAAACATGAACGCGTACGCGTTTTGCGTAGAACAAACAAATTACATTAAATATGCAAAATTCATAAATTTTTGTTTCACTTCGCGTCTCAATACTTTGTGTCCTTACAAGGAAAACAACAACAACAACAACAACAACAACAACAACAACAAAAGCAACATTGTTGTAATATTCCAAAAACAAAATGGCGTTGTGGGTGGAACAGTGTTGCTGTGTTCAAATATTTGTTATAACAGTGACAACAACAACAACAATAACAACATTATCAACAGTTAGAACTAGAAGAAGAAGAAGAAGAGGAGATGATGGCAAACATTTTGAAAGAGCTCAGTTAATTATGCATGCGATGTCGCTGTGCTTGCTGACAATAAGGACCTTTTTAATATTTATGAACACAACCGATTCACTAATTATAATTAGGAATTGAAAAGTTTTTAACTGGGACTGAAGTCCCATGGATGGATGGAGAAGAAATGGTGTTGGAGGAATAAAGAATGGCACGCAATGCGATGTGTGCGGAATGATTAAATATTGAAAGTTTACAAAAAAGATATTTTTTGTGGAGAGGGAGGGGAAGGGAAGTCGCGAAAAAACACAATTCAAGAAAATATGGAAATAAATTTGAGGAGCAACCAAAATTTCGATGTTCCCAAATTTATGAGTAGAAAAAGGTATTTGGTGGGATTTATAATATTATTATTATGGAATATAGTAAAGATGTGCATTGAAAGTGAATTCTACAATATAAAATGGAAAAGTCAAAAAGAGTTCTTTAATACAGATAAAATATGTGTACTTTTGAAAGGTATTAAAGTTGACAACTATGACTCTGAGAAGAATCACTTCACTATAGGAAGAGTATTCATATAAATGTATCAGAATTTTTTATTTAAATATAACCATAGACATATCGTAGATAGATATACAAAGATATATAGTTATATCGCACGTCTTCCTCAAAAGAGGCACAACTCGAAATTCGTTTGAGTTAATGTATGGAACTTGCTTATAGTTTACATATCTACCAACATGCAAAATCCCACTCCTTTTATTATTGCATATTGTCGAAAAACCAGTTATCTCTCTTTTGTTGTTAAGAATGACACTACACTTCAAAACATTTTTGGCGTTTTCTGAAAATTGACGAAATTTATCCAATATTTTATCAGTCTGAAAACAGTTTTTATAATAGATTTCACTACTTTAATTGAATAAAACAGCTCCGAAAAAAAATTAAGATTCGATTAAAAAACAGAAACTGACATGGATGCAGATTGGCTTTATATACAATACATATATCACTCTCTGCAGAAACATGTTACTGTTACCTAAAATCAACAAATTGTTCTTC